CACTGTTCGGATATTCCTAACTTAAATCTAACTGCCATAAATATTTTAAATGTTGTTTAAAATTTTTTTTTTACTAAAACAAAATTGCTATTGAAATATTTATAAAGATTTAAAACACCTAAGTCCCTATTCAACCCTAGTTTATGTGTATTTAATTTTAAAATCCAATATGTTTCTTTTTTTCTGCGTGTGAATGTGATATATATATATATATATATATATATATATATATATATATATATATATATATATATGTGTGTGTGTGTGAGTGTGTGTGTGTGTATATATATATTTTTCCAGTGTCTATTTTTCCCAAATTCACAACCACAAACATACTCAAAAACCTAACGAAAATCACTTTATTCCATTCAGGTTTTACAGCTTAGACATTCATCTCATACCATAACAATCTAAAAGCTTCATAAACCAGTGATATTCTAGCCTCTTTATATAAATACGTGCCTGCAAAATAAATCCTACGTTCCCTTGCTAAAGTCCCTCAAATGAAGAAAGGCGTCGGCTAATATCAGTTTTGGTGATGTTGTTAACCAATCAATTAATGATTAGTTTTAACAACATCACGAAAGCAAAAAAACTGTTCCTTCATACAAGTAGACAGAAATGATTTCCCCCCTTCCATTAATGAAAAGACACTAAACAATGTGCTAGACATGGCGAAACAATATATAAACATCCCAAATAAAGATGTAGATATTACGAAACACTCCTGAAAATCAAGACTATATTATGACAACAGAACATAGACAAAAAAAACACAGAACCAATAGTAACCACAATATCGATATCGACGATACCTTTCACATAACATCGGGCAGCTATACTGGCGCAAACTTATATACATATTAATCATCAATAAATTGACACACACCATTAATCAAAAGTCATAGTCTTGTACAGGAATGACGGCTTAAAAATCACAAGAAATAACAACGGCAGACTTACAGAAAAATAAGAAAACAGATCAAAGAATCCTTCCACACATTAGGTTTTAATATAGCCATAAAATCTGACCTGAATTTAATATAACATTCACTCAAATGATATCAACAAATATTCCAACCTCTCTCCTATTGTATCCATGCGTATACACATTTCCATAAACAAAATAATATTACCAAATTCTAGCAACATATAAAATGACAACGAAAACAAAAAGTATATGGAACAGCATTAAGAGATATCGGTTATCCGAACATATTAGAATAAACAAATGATAAAAAAAGCACGCAAACACAAAAGAAAAACAAACATAATCTGTCCCAACCCACCCTTCAATAATACAATAAAAACGAAAATAGGAAAATATTCATCAAAATAACTGAAAAACATTTCACCAAGTGCAACAAACAAAAATACAATAAAAATCAATTACCGTTGCATGGATAACATGAAAAAATAATAATAAAAATCACACTAAAAGTACAAAAAAATACTAATAACCACAATACAAATCAGCAAAAAACAACAACAAATGCAATTGTCGAAATAAAAACATTTGCCCATATAACAAAAATGCCTAACCAACCACATAATATATTAAGCCATCATAACAAACATCACAAATGCAGAAGAAAAAGAATCTGGCATAGTAACTACAGTAAAAAGCTTTAAAGAAAAGCTTAATAATCCTTAATCTTCAATTAATGCTGAAAATGCAAAAATAACACAACACTATTAAAATATATATGGGACCGGAATCAAAATCCCATCATTACCAAGATTAAATTGAAAAATAAAATTAAAAAATAACCGCATACAGTAGCAACAGCAGAAAATTTAAACTAACAATAATCAATTTCAAGGATCAAAAATCTAATTGAACAAGAGGAATGAAATATTGGGGAAATGTAAACATTTAAAAAAAAGGCATTTTTTTGCTACCCAAATATTAAGATGAAATCTAAAGTAAAAGATACACCAAAAAACGCAATCCCATCTCAAATACACACCACCATACATAACAGCTAATTCATAACAATCGCAAGCACAATCTATCCAGAAAAGAGTAACTACAATATCAAAAAATAATGAGTAATAAAACATAAAGAATGTATGCCTGAGTTTTTGTAAGTATGCATACATGTGTAAACATACATAGGCTCGTGCATAAAACACACACGTACAATATAGCTTTCCAAACTATATAGTTGATGAAAAATAATATACTTTCTTAGAAGTCTCAATACTACGCAAATAGAACATAAAACCACTTCAACTAATTCCAAACATATTAATCTCTTTTATCGTAGTCAAATGCATACTAATGATAAATAAGATGAAAATATACTAAAAAAAATATAGTAAATACTAATATATCCACAACAGACCATAGAGAAAAAAATAGGTTAATCATATACTACACTAAATCTAGTATATCCAACTTAACTAATCGCAATGATTCCTCTCCGCATTCCCCGTTAGCGATTTGCAGAAAACCAACATAGTTTGCAAATTCAAGTGCCCTTTGGGAGATTGTATCTCCAACGTATTAAATAATATTTATGCTGGTCACACCACAAACTCGCTTTCACGGCGCTTGACACTATATTTAAATGATAATTCTAACATTTTTAGACATTTAAAAGAACATGGCTGCCCGTGTACTCAATTCCGGAGAATCCTTGTTGAAAACACAACTATACTTAAACATAAAAATAATAAACAAAAATTAAAAGTTCATGAAGCTTTGTTCATAAAACAGTTGAAACCTAACCTGAACAGAATAAACTATGAAATCATTACAAATATCCTTAAATGCTTATAATTTATAACAGAATCCATTGGTTTATACCAACGGCTTCCCATATTAATGCTATTCGTTTTTCACTCTCGTGTGGTCATGTGTGACGTAACGAGCTGTGACGCGATTTTCGCTTCCGCGTCTCGTATATGCGAGTTCGTCGTTACTTGGAAATTTGCATGCAGCAAGGGCGGACTATCATTGTTGGTTCGTCCGTGTGTTGTTTGATTTATTGAAAGTGTCATCTTTGATAATGGCTTGTGTAAGCCAAAAGCTTAGATTGGATTTAATCATGTAACAATATGGTGGTTTCCTTTCGTCTTCCAACGATAATGTGATTAAGCTTATCAGACAATATGAAAGGAACATACTTAAAATAAAAAGACAAAACTTGTCCATATTATTTAATGAAACATGAATTAATATATATGGATATGTGTGGGTTTGTGCGTGTGTGTGTGCATGCGTGCGTTTGTGTTATTGAACAAACTAAAAATGTCTGCTTATTTTCGTCATAATCTTTTCATATACATAAATGTTTCCGTACATTACAATTAAATAAGGGAAGAAATGCACTGTAACAGTGATAATCACTTTTATTTCACATGTACTTTTCATCACTTTCTGAGATCATTATCACGTGTGCAACTGGTAAGGCAAAACATATGTGAAGCTATCTATCACAGTTGATTATCTCAGAAAGCGATGGAAAGTACCTGTAAATATATATATATATATATATATATATATATATATATATATATATGAGTGAATGAAGTGTGTGTGTTTGTTTGCATTAGTAAATGATAATATGATATAAATATATCCCCATGTACTTAGAGAGAAGGAAAGAAAGAAAAAGATAGAGACAAATCCAAGAAATTTCCCTCATAATAGAGATATTGTTCCCAAGTTACATATATAGCTAATTTAATATATATATATATATATATATATATATAGATAGATAGATAGATAGATAGATAGATAGATAGATAATTAAATACGGCAGACGAGAAAAATTCAATTTATGTCCTCTTTAGTTTTCTAGTAACCTTACGTATTACACGAGGAAAAACCAAGCAACAGAAAAAAACAAGTAAAAATATAAAATGAGTGGCCGAAACCGCTTGTAAAAATGAAAATTATTGAAAAAATTCTGTACTCCCTTACTGTGATAAAACGGAAAAATGTAATGACCCTTGGAAATCTAACTAAAAAATGAATGAAATCTTCCTTGCTAGCCGTATTTAATGAACAATATTTAAAGAAGAGATTGATTCCATATATATATATATATATATATATATATATATATATATATATATATATTATGAAATTGTTATATTTTTAATATATATTTTTTGTTTATACGTTATTTTTATAGGTAGAAATATTTAAGTAAATGGTCTGTCTATAATAAATAGTATTAACAACATATATCGGCTTGAATATCCGAGAAATTTCATAGAAAATATATGTCCTATGAGAGGAATCGAACCTGTATCCTATATGGAACAGTTACATATTGATTGTCCAATTCCTAATGTGTGATGTCATCTTTTTACAATAACATACACTTCAATGTGATATGAACGTTTGAGAGTAATCATGGGAAATTTGTAGTATAAAAACATTAATTTGATTTTGATAACCAGACGATTCCTCTGCAGCTACATGTATAACACGTCAGGCTATATGTATAATCGTTCCATGTAGGATACATATTCAATTCCTATTAGAAGACACATATTTTCTACGAAATTTCTCGGACATTCAGGCCGGTAAATGTTGCCAATACTGTTTATTATGAACAACGCATTTGCCTAATCTATAAAATAACGTAGAAACACTCACAATATATATATATATATATATATATATATATATATATATGGAGAGAGAAATGCTGGGATAAAAACAGTTGAGAGGGAGAGCCTGATTTAGAAAATCACGAGAAATTGTGTATATTTCTTAGCTATGTCATGTTTTAGTACAAGTTATATATCCTAAACTGAAAAAAGGAGACAATAATAAAATATGCAGAAACATCCTCAAAAATAAATATAAGAAATAAGATATCAAAAATAAACAAAGAAAAACCGAAAGGAGCAAAGAATAATTAGCAAGATTTAACACGTGCGCATTTACGATATATCCAATTGAGAAATTACAGAAAGCCGTCGTCGTCTCTAACGCCATGTTCTTTTTTTTCTCCTTTTATGCATGTCCAACTCAGTCTGTTCGCTTCCTGCGGCCTCTTCTCTCTTCCTCGCCCGACATTCGCATAGCTGTTGGCGGTGTGCGTCTTTCCCGGGAACCACCCAAATAATTTCCACTGCGTTCACCTTCATCTCGCTCCGAACTTTTGGTCAGTTTCATCTCGTTCCAAGCGTAATTGCAGAGTCCGTGTGTTTCGGATTTGGAACGAGACCAGCCATGAAATAGCTTACATCAAAGGGGTGGGAAAAAGCGGTTTTTCGAACAACGTAGCAACTGAAGGCTGTTGAAAAACGACAGAAAGGCGACTATCTGCGGCAGCGAAAATAACGTTGATGAATATTAATCTAATAAGAAAAGAATATGAAAGAGACATCGAAATATCGAAAGGAAGCAAAGAGAAGAATAATAAAAAAAAAGCTGATTGTTTAGGAATAGAGTCGGGTTAATAAGAAAACTTTTATAAATTTAGATTAAAAGAGAGCGGTAGGATGTACAATTGTGCTGTTGCATCTTGATTTTAAGAAGGAAATAAACTTGGATGGAAACATGGGATGTGTTCGAGACTATAAAAAAACTTTTAAAAACTACCCGGAAGTAGGTAATAAAAGTTTAAATTAGAGAGTGCATGAAAATATATCTGCCTTTTGAAATAACTCTTTGTCCTCTTTTCGCTTATTTATTTGTGTATGTTTGTGCGTTTCTGTATGCGTGTATGAACAGAAAGAGAGAGATAAAAGGAAATGATGATAAAAGATTGTGATGCGTCAGATGATGTCAGGTTGTTATTTCTCACTATTAGCGTGGAACATCCATATTTGAAACATTAATAATTGCCTCGGTGGGAAATACGAACATACTCAGCCATTGCTTCCATATACACATACGCATTTTTACCTCAGAAGAGAATTAATATAGCTCGGAATTGCAAGCTTGGAAATAATGATTTAGACAGATGACGAATATTATAAAGTTACAAAAATTTCTTATGGATTCTGAGAAAAATATTAATTCAAATGACAATGTTTTTTTGGAGCTGCCATACCAATGATTCGCATTGCTAAAACAAATGAAAGCGCATGACAAAAACAAAAACAAAAACAAAAAAACAAAAAAAAACACCCACGCACAGATATATGAGAATCGGACATTCCGTCGTAGCCTATTTGGCGTCGCTGATTCAGCGTGGACAATTCGGCGTAGACGATTCGACATAGGAATTTTTTCGGGAGAGAGAGACGATTCAGCGTCAGATTACTACTACGTCGTTATAGTCAATTCTCTCTCTCTCTCTCTCTCTCTCTCTCTCTCTCTCTCTCTTGTTTAGTAGCCAAATTACTACTTCGTCGTTATATATATATCCCCGCAAACAGCTACAAAAAATAGAGGTACTGACAAACGAATCAAAAAAAAACTTATAATGGAAGTTGAATAATTAGATCTTATTCAATTCCTGAAGGGTGTTGCCCATAATTACGAAAATAAAAGACTTAGTAAAGCTATTTAATTGTAGAAATTACTTTTTAATTTCGTAAAAGTAATTTCTTAGATTAAATAGCTTTACTAAGTTTTTTTTTTCTTAATTTTAAATGCAATATTTTTTTAATTTAGTTTTTAATTAAACATTATTCCAGTAATGTTTTAATATACTCCTTAAATCTCTAAAATAATAAAAAGATATTTTGAAGTTGGGTTTTAAGTGGGAGTCGCGGGGATCTCCGGTCAAAGACAGTAACGTCGAAACAGTCTGATACCTAAACTTCGAATCAGGGATACGCCGAAACGTACCAAACTCAAATATATATATAGATAGATAGATAGATAGATAGATAGATAGATAGATAGATAGGTAATAGGAAGGTAGAAGGAAGGTAGAAGGAAGGAAGAATGGGAGGCAGGCAGCCATTTTGGATCGGCGATTTATATGCTGATAAATATTGCATTAATGATAGCGATTTTTGTTGTATTATACGAACTCATCTTTGACGCTTGGAAATAGTTGTCTATAATGTTTGTTTTTCTGCCATGAGGTATTGTAAATATTTATACTATTTACTTTGTCTGGACTGTTGACCTTATCTTTGTTGCTGTATTCACTGCATCTTGACTTTTCTGAGCTACGATCTTCTTCAAGTGATTGGAATCTTGAACTAAACCCATTATTTCGACCACTAGTCTGAATTATTCTTGTTTTGGCGGCTTAGGAGATTTTTGTGGCCTAACATAATTGATGATTCCTTAAGTGATTTTCTTTATCTATTATTTCGACCTCATTCCACTGGGGGCGGTGATATCTTTTTTCTCCCCATATTTGCTCATTTGCGTCTGATTTTTCCATTTCCCTTCGTGTTACGGCTTTACGATGTTTTTTCAGTCTTAACTTAAGGGGTGGCCTGTTTCTCCTTTATATTTCTTAACACAGCTACACGAGGCGGCATACATACAATCTTTAGTCATGTACACCTCTTTGCGGCGTCTTACTCAGAAGTGTCTGCGAAGTGTCAAAGCACTTTTGAAGGTCGTCCTGATATTATAGTCGCACAGATCTTTTGAATTTTTTTTCGATAATCCCCTCACATATGGTAAGCAGTTGGAAGCGGTTTCCTGAGTGTTGTTTTCCTCTTGTAACTTTCTATCTCAGTTTGTAGGATCTGTACCTAGGATAATTGTTAGGTTGTAGGCTACTGCTTATGTTGACCATTCCTTGTTCCTCTGCCTGTGGCTCGCCAGATATGACTTTTTTTCTTGATGTCGTAAGCAGCAGACATATTATCTTATTGGTTTAGTGTTGGATTATGTCAAAAGTATGCTACATTATATGCGTTTTATATAGTTCACATATTTGCATTTAACATGGTGGTGTTTTAGAAAGTATTTAGCTTCAGATGTTTTAGTAAGAACATTTTTCCTGTCTGCATTTTGATATAAACACATACACACACACGCATATATATATATATATATATATATTTATATATATATATATATATATATATATGTGTGTGTGTGTGTGTGTGTGTGTGTGTGTGTGTGTGTGTGTGTGAGGATATTGCTCTAGCTGTTACCATAGTAATTTTAATTTTAATAATGAATATGCTTATAAAACGCGTAAATTTCAAGAATAAGTTATTCCAAAAAAAATTTCGCTTGAAGATGAAACAGAGCTTGGTACTTTAATTCAGTTTAATTCAAATAATTATGTTGAAATTTTCGGCTCTTATGTAGCGATGGAATCATATATTTAAAAAAAAAAATTATAATTATATATATATATATATATATATATATATATATATATATATATATATATATATATATATATATAAGGTAAAAAGACAATAGGAAAAATATAATATTAGTCGATGCGTTTTGTCCATTAAATTCATTTCGTTTTTGCCTTGAAAAGTCCACAATGGACGAAACACGTCGGCTAATAATACAATTTTCCTATTGTCTATTATTTTTTATGCATACTGTCTTTTTCTACAGGTTAACTCAGAGAAATGTTTTCCTATATATATATATATATATATATATATATATATATATAGATAGATAGATAGATAGATAGATAGATTGATTGATTGATTGATTGATAGATATAGATATACATACACATACAAGTGTGTGGAAATATAGAAATGTCTAGTGAATGAGAAATAGAGATTTTTGGGTTTTTTTTAGATTGAATGAAAAGGATATCTATGTATGTTCCTATATCTGAATGAATGGAATATAACGTAAACATGTAAGCTATATCTATGGAGAAAAAAACAGAGAGACATCAAACGACATTTGAAAAAAAAAACGAAATCAAATGCGATATTTTTTGGGGGATTAGTTTGGGTAAAATAGAAGACAATGAAGTTAACAAACTGAGATGAATCGCTTTGCTTCTTGGCATTGGACAGAAGAAAAGTGAAAACAGACCAGTAAAATTAAAAAGAAAAAAAATGAATAAAAGCAAAGATATTTGTGAGCAGTGTTCTTCGGTTACGAGAGAGAAAATAACGATAAAAATTATTAATGTTCATTGGCGTTGCACAGGCGGGGCTTATGCATTCCAGAAAGATTTACGGTTCATTCATTGGTTCTTTTGAATAAATATTTTATTTCCCAGTTTGCAATAGATCAAAATCTCCGACATCTTCAGCTAGAAGCAGAATAACAGAAACGGAAAGGAAGAGGGGCCACGCGCGAGTAATTCCTGGCTCCCTATGATTCCTTGAGGCTAATCTACGCATTTTCCTCGCGTCTCTTGAAAACATGTTTTCGCAGCGACAATGTTTCTACGGTGAAAACGCAAACAAAACAATAAGAAACATACCGGAGAATAAATATTAACTAGGTGTGGATTTTGTAAGCACGATTCTCAATTTCAGATCAGCCAAAGTTGATTGGACTTTTCATGGTGACATCCCAAGTAATATTTTATGCGTTTCATAATTACTGATGACAAAACACACTGATATAGATATACGCTTTTCACATGCATGAGAGTGTTTCGAATTTCTCCACAGTATCATAGCTGGTGTGTGAGTATGGATTATTTCCAGGTTAATAAACACGGATTTTCCAGGCAACTAAGGCTGATAATACATGGCAAAAGCAGGAGACCAGGTTGACAGCAATAATCGCAGTTGCTGCAGAGAGAGTGGGGTGATTTCTCGTTGATTCCTCCGATCTTTTAACTATAAGTTTCTCCCATTCTTTCTCATTCTCTTGCTCCATCCAAGGCGAGAGAGAGTCCAGAATATAAGGGTATTTGACATCTTGGTCAGGTCTGAAGATGTAAATTTCTGCGAACAATACGTATAGGACGAGGCCGGAAACTGAACTCGAACATCTAATTCCATGTTTTGCGTCTATAACGGCTACATTACATTATTATTATTGAGTAAGCAAACATGACGCATTTATGTTAATTCCCTTCACTTTGTGACCGTTTAACAAGAGGTGAACGCTAAACATTCTAGATCTTCATTACCACTACCTGATGCACATGTGATGTTTGACATTTTGGTTGGTCTTCACACGAAACAGATGAAATAACTGAATTCCTTAGAAAAATAATGCATATAAGAGTGATGATAAGTTTTTCATTACACAACAAAGGTTATCCTCAAGGAATCTAATGTTATTTCGGCGGACTTTGAAATTAGTCGGACGGAGATCATTTCAGATATCTTATATTAGATCGAGAGAAATTTTCCCATCTATAAACAAATTATGATATATATATATATATATATATATATATATATATATATATATATATATATATATAGAGAGAGAGAGAGAGAGAGATAGATAGATAGATAGATAGATAGATAGATAGATAGATAGATAGATAATCGGTTATTCAAATCGGGGACTCGCCTACTGGTTTCCCTAGAAAAACCAAGCAACAGACTTCACTGATTTATTTCTTATTTCCTCTCTTCCAGGTTGAGGCCCTTCGCAATACTGCAGACCATTCTGTGGAATCTATTGACATTTCTTTCCAATCATCTATTAAACATAGTAGAGATATGAAAAAACGGATATATATATATATATATATATATATATATATATATATATATATATATATATATATATAAGTGCTTGAGTGTGTATGTAGATAAATAAAGATATATGTATGAATAGACCGAGATAGATAAATATATAGATAGATCTATCTATCTATCTATCTATTTATATATATATATTTATATGTTCGTCTTTTCATTTCTATCTATCTATCTATCTATCTATCTATCTATCTATCTATCTATCTATCTATATTCGCCTTTTCAGTTGTATCTTATTTAGTTGTATCTATCTGTCTCTCTCTCTCTCTATATATATATATATATTTATACGTTCGTTTTTTCATTTCTATCTATCTATCTGTCTATCTATCTATCTATCTATATTTATATGTTCGTCTTTTCATTTCTATCTATCTATGTATATATATATATATATATATTTATATGTTCGTCTTTTCATTTTCTCTCTCTCTCTCTCTCTCTCTCTATATATATATATATATATATATATATATATATATATATATATTCGTCTTTTCATTTTATCATATCTATCTATATCTATCTATCTATCTATCTATCTATCTATCTATCTATCTATCTATCTCCAACAGAATATTAGGGTTCACATCATTTATTCATGTAAAACAACAATTTCTCTCACATTCATCATTTTTTCCATTTTTTATAGAAAGATTGAACGGATTTATTTAAATATTTACGCCATTAATATTCAAGATATCTATCAATTATGGAATATTGACTATTACCTAGACGAGAAAGTTTGGTTGGAAACAAGTAAATGAGTCTTGAACTCCTGCGTTATTTATGGACAATCTCCTGAAATATGAAGAAGAGATCCAAAACAAAAAAGTTTGGCTCTACAGAAGGATGATAAAGATATCAAGAGCCGAACATATCTGCTCCGACGAAGTTTTGCAGAGAAATGGTGGGGGCTTGGAAAATCTGATACTCACAGGACGGATAGAGCCAAAGAGGGACAGAGAAAAGTAACGCGTAATATACTTATGATTGTGAGTAAGTGGATAGCAGAGCAGGTTCTGTAAGAAATAACAAAAAAAACAATACTTATTAAGAACAACATTGGACAGAAGAAGGTGTCAGACCATGAAAGCCTATATCCTGAATGGATATGGCACATAAAAAAAAGAAAAGGTTTATTACACTAAGAATGTATTATATATCCTATCGGATTTCAGATTTCTCGCATTTTTACGCAGTGAGCTGATTTCCAAGAAATTATTTTAATTAAGAATTATAATAACTGATCAGACATATTTAAATTTCTTTGTAAAGAATAAAATTTAAAGAAATGTCATAGCTTTTTAAGAATAAAATTATTGAACCTGTTCATTAATTTATTTTGTGTGCTGCTATATTTTCTCATATGAGTCAAACAAAACAACATTCAGAATATCATTCGTGAGTTCATCATTGATTGTAAGTTGTGATCTGCCAACGTAAACGACGCTATTCAGGATGATCCGCAAATGTTCAATTGGTCGAAAATTTTCCCAAAACATTTCCCATTCAGCAGACCAATGCACCTTTTTGAATACAAGAAAACTGCTCTAATAGATTACAACGTTTTAGAAACAACTTGGGTTTCCCTTGCAATTGAGAGCTGTATGAATGCTGTTAGTAGTACGAATACTTTTCGGACGAGACAGAATCTGGTGGACAAGCTGGTTTGAATCTGAAAACACGTAATAACTCTCTTACATATAAATCACTATCGTTTCTTCAAACACACACACTAACATACACGTGGGCGCACACATACAAACACACATATATATATATATATATATATATATATATATATATATATATATATAATGTGTGTATTTAGGCAGCTTTTTTTCATTCATACATGTTTCATTAAATAATATAGACAAGTGTTTTTTTTTTATTTTATCTGATGTCATGAAAAGAAATTACATAAAATAAATAGACAACACTTGTCTATATTACTTAATGAAACATGTATATATATATATATATATATATATATATATATATATATATATGTCTGAAACACTAATATTTCATGGTTATAATTTATTACATTGGAATCGTAATTACGATCTAATGCATCAGACCTACAAATTGAAAAATAATTGGAAAAGATTACTCTCTATATATATAAAAACAAAAAAACAAAAAAACAAATAGAGACAGTGTATGTGTGTGAGTGGGAAAAAGTGTGAGAGGGTAAGCTCTAGGCTGGGGTGTAATAGAAGAAAGAAGAGTGTGAGTTCAATACCCGGTTAAGGCAGTGGAGAACTTTCAGAGGGAAATTAACAGGTGATAACTGATAACTTACATCCATTAAACATGGCACATGAAACTAGAACAGTCTACACCAGTGAGCGAAATAAAGGTCTTTGTTCGACATTCCATCCACCTGACGAAGGCCGGAGCGTACAACGGCCGAAACGTTGTAATAAATATGGCGGCAAAGATGAGGCCAGTAGTCCGAATAATGAAAATAATGTACACAATACCTCATCTCAGAAATATAGACAGATACTTAATAGTTACCTTCTTACGATGTGAGTGAATGGTTAGCATATCAAAGTTGGGTGGTATATATAATCAAATGATAGTAATTACAGCAAAAAACAGAACGTCGTGGAGACCCATGATCATCCACGTCTCAAATTGGCATGGTACCATAAAATAATATTACTTTCATATATAAGCATTATGTTGCGAACAAAACGATAAGAAAGCTGAACAGAAGTTTATTGGTCTCAGATGCAATATATGTTCAAGGTGGTAGAATATATAAGCCAAAACAACGTATTACAAACATTCATAAAGCCAACAGTTTAAATAAATATGGAAGATTTTAACTTGCTTCGTAGACAAAACTTACGTTTTATTTATTCAAATGATGTTTTATTTCTGTTTTAACAATGGTGGCTGTAGATGTAATTTTATTCTTTTCTCTAATTACTTGTGTCGATAAAATTTTGTCTGTATATTTGTCTATCCTAGGATAGTACGCAATTGTATAAACATCAGTTGGTCTATCGTTTGCTTTTGTAATTTTCTGTATTTTTATCAAAAATCCAAAAACATTCCGAATTGGAAAGAGAAGTAAAGAGAAATACAATCATCTGAATACGCATCTGTATATTTGAATTGATTAGAAATACTTTTTTCTTTTTAATTTACCTTCCTTTTTTTATTTTCTGGTTTTCCTCTTCCTAACACAATTTTTAAACGATATTTCTTTATTTCAGTTTACATTTGTTTCCAGATAAACGTCTCCGATTCCCGCATCTTTTTGTAGATTATTTCTAGCGAGACAAAAATCACAACAAAATTAAAAAAATATATATCGTCAGCTTTTAAAAATAAAAAATTAAAACTTTTTTTTTTTTTCAGTGACTGAATATAGACACAGAATTTCAGATTCGAAGATTAAATAAATTCTTGCAAATAAATTTTATGAAATTTATATTTGATTTTTTTTACCAGTTTTTCATATAGCATTGGGGTTTGGTTTTCGAAACAATATTTGTTGGTTAGAATCGTTTAGTTTATTTTTGTAAACGTTTTAAGCGTTGATATTTATATTTCAGTGAAGCAGTCATGACGCAAATTTAGAGATGGCAAAAGACATAAAGTGGTACAAATATTTATTCTTATTTGTTAGTCAAAGTGTAATCTTTCCGGGTGATTTAATCTAAGAAATTCCTAGAAAAAGAAGTAAATACAAATAGTTTTAAGAACAACAATTTTATGACTTATTTTTATGACTAGAATTAGAAATTTCGGGAAATTTCCATATAATACGTTTAATAATTTAAGATGCAATGTACGTTATATATTTGAGAATGAATTGTGTAACGTGAATGGAAAACGACTGGTGTAATTTTATGTAGTATGCTCAAAATCTGAACCATTTTATTTTTCGTTGAGACATAGAAAGATCATTAATGTGATTTATTCTATTCTAACAGGATTTTAACCATCAGCGTAAAAGCTTAGCAGTACATATGGGAGAAGTCAAATATCATTTTATGGAGGGCGACATCATAGTCTGCTTTTTGTAATGGGCCCAATCACAATTACTACAACACTTTCCTTACGACAATATAAATGATAATCTTACATCTGCTGCAGGATTTAGCATATTAAATTGCTTATTAGGAAAACTTTGTGTACAGAATGCACAGATTATTTTAATATATATTACATGTGTTATTTCTGATTAAATAAATTACAAACATTATGTGTGTTTATTTTTAACATAATCCGTTCATATTCACGAATATCTTTTCTCATATTACAATCAAATGATGCAAGAAATGCACTGTAAAAATGAAAATCACTTTTATTTCGCAAGTAATTTCCGTCTAATTCTGAGACCTTCATCAGAGGCGCATTACATTATTATTTCTTATTTGTAAATATATTTTCTAAAATGCCTTAAAAAAAGAAAATTTTTCACGCTTTAATACGTGGTTGACCATGACATACCAACATGATGGAAAAAAATTCCATGGTGGATAATTTTTTTTCACGTTCTAATGAACGCTAAAGAAAATCGATCTGCTCCTGCATTTAAACGCAGAAAGACAGAAAAAGTTCAATAACGAACAGCTGAACATAGTTTTTGTCTTACTATTTGCAACCCTGATGATGATCTCAGTACTTGGGAAATGAAAGTGATTTTTACAGCTTCAGTGCGTTTCTTCCATGATTAGATTGTAATATAAGGACAAAAATATACGTGAACATAAACTGATTATGCTAAAAATAAGCAGGCATAACAGTTTGTAATTTATTTAATCAAAAATGATTAAAGATAATCTGCTACATAAATACATAAATTATACATTTGTTATTAATATTAATATTGTGAGACCGGAAACTACCTACAGAATAGACTCTTCCGGGCCTATATTAAGTAGGCGACATAACACTCTAGAGGGACATAACACTCTAGAGGGACATATAGAGAGTGACATAGAGTGACAGTGAGAGTCTAGTACGACTACCAGTGTTGGGCACTAACATATAGTAAGCTCCACTTACACTATCTCTGTAACCTGTTGTTAATATATCTTTCTTACATCTAATCCGTGTTCCGTGTTTTCCTTCTGGGGTCCCAACTTTCGCCCCACATCAATTAATTAGAAGCATAATTCAATAGCTGCTAAAATATAATTCTTATAGTAATATTAACCATTTCCCTACGAGCAATCATTCATTGACCTTGCAATGAGTACTGTTTTTGTCTGACATTTTAAAAATCTTTCTCTTAAAAAGAATATTCCTGAAAATAAATAACTTAGCTGATATTGCTATTTCTAGTATTAATGGGGGTTTCCTTTTTAACCTTTAATTTGAAATATCAACATATTGATTATGCCATTATTTTCATGTGCTATCCATTTTAGTGTTGTTCCAGGGTCGTAGCCTTAAACTGATGTGGTTTGTGCCATTTGGTGCAGTTCTTTTTCTATGATTCTGTTGAGCCAGTTTACGATGTGCAAAGAAATACAAAGTCTTTGCCAAGACCAGCAGGCTTCTCTTTTTGAGGCTAATTTTTTTTTATTTTCATTAATAAGCAATTATCGTTTTGTTTCATGGTACGTTAATAAGAATCGTAGTAATGTCATTATATGTTTATCTCTAGGTAGAGTATACATAGATACCTAAATCTCTCTCGAATT